TGTGTCTAAAGAGGGGCACGTCTATGGATTTGGCCTTTCCAATTACCACCAGCTTGGTACAATTCCTAGCTCGTTCAGTCCTGAAGATTAAACGGTCTGTTGCAGAATTGAGAATTTTTCTTCTTTTTACAGGTACCCAAAGCACAAATACCTGCTTTGCTCCTGTGAAACTCAGTTCTTTCAAGAACTCCACCACATCCTGGGTGGGTTTCTCTGGGGGGCAGCATCACACAGTGTGCCTGAATTCAGAAGGTAATTCATTTTAATGTACGAGTAACAATAATGAGGTTCGTGGATGAGTGTTTTTAATCATGTTTTCCACCAATGGATCAAAAGATGTTCAACTGCTGTCTTCATCCACAGGACAAGTATGCAGTCTTGGTCGGGCAGAGTATGGTCGCCTGGGCCTGGGGAAGGATGCAGGGGAGAAGAGTGAGCCCACACTTGTTACTGGGATTAGTGATGTTCAGATGGTTGCCTGTGGTGCCTCTGTGAGCTACGCTGTCACCAAACAAGGTGAGTCTGCACCCTGTCCTGGTTCTCACAATGTTCTCTGACCACTTTAAATGAACCCAAAAAGACCCTTTCTGACTTTGGGTTAATTTTGACTAATCCTCAATATTTTAGCCACTACAAGTTATTGTGCAAAACTTGAAATGCAATGTAAACCAATTCAGACCACACACAAATTCTGTATAAATGCAACTAGTCATCAACCAGTATCTGAGAGGTCCTTCCTCTATGAAATAGTAAAAGTGCCCATAATAACACTACCATTTAAAAGTTTGGGGTTGGTAAGATTATTTTTATATTTTAAGTAAATCTATTGTGCTCGCCAAGGCTGCATTTATTTGTTCAAAAATACAGTAAAACTGTATTATTGTGAAATATTACAATTTAAAATGACATGATCATTCAAAAATCATTCTAATATACTTATTTGGTGCTCAAGAAACATTTAAATGTTGAAAGGAGTTGTGTTGCCTAATATTTAGCTTTTCAGGATTTTTTGATTAATAGGAAGTTCAATAGAACAGCAATTATTTGAAATAGAAGACTTCTGTAACGCTGTAAATGTATTTACTTTCATTTGATCAATTTAATGCATCCTTACTGGAAGGTGTTTTTTTTTTTTTTTTTTTTTTTTTTTTTAAACCTTACCTGAACATTTGAATGGTAGAGTATTTTTGGTGGATTTCAAAAGGTTATTTATATATAGATTTTTTGAATATTTATATTTTACATTTTTCATAATGTGCATTAATGTGATGCCCAAGTTCAATTAGAAATGGTATTAAATGCAAACTATTTGGTTTGTGTTTTATACATTTTTTTCTAATATAGGTTCTACTGGCCATAAGCTGATCAAAATAGATCAATGCATTTATAGTTTCTGATATCATGGTTTGGGTTGTAGCATTGCTTGTCCCTGTAGTTTTAAATGGCAAATGCTACAGATGATGCAATGTGTGTGTGTGTGTTGTTCACAAATGTATCTTCAACCTCTAATTACATTAATTGCACAAATCAGAGAAGTTTATTTTTAGGTCATTACCAAATAACACAATTTACTGGCTTGTTTTGATCTTCAAAGCTGCGTTTTAGTTGTCTAACATTGCTGTCTGTTGGCCAGGCTCTGTGTTTTCCTGGGGCATGGGCACCAACATGCAGCTGGGTACAGGAGAGGAGGAGGATGAATGGAGCCCAGTGGAGATGACCGGCAAGCAGCTGGAGAACCGTGTAGTTCTATCAGTGTCCAGTGGGGGGCAGCACACTGTCCTGCTGGTCAAAGACAAGCAGGAGAGCTGATCTTTAACTCCTTGACTAAAGACAGCTGAGCCAAACTACTGTATCAGTGGTATCTGTAACCTATAGCTTGATCATGATCGGGGGAGTCTGGGGTTGGGAATGCTTCCTGTGCTGAGCAAAGTCAGCGAATGAGGGAGAGGGTAGGATGAGGGTCATCTAATTAAACCTTTTATCCCACTTTATGGGGAGCCCAAACATTCACTGGATATGGTCCGGTAGATGATCAAAGAGACCTTTTTTTTTATAGACTTTGTTTCTTTTTCATTGCTTTAACTTCTTAATTCTTTTTAACAAAGTTCTTTAGTATGCTTCCTGGAGACCGTCTGTCTTGAGTGATTGTATGCATGTATGAGCTGAAAAGTGATTTAATAAGTCTTTTAAAGTCCCAGAAAACGTTTTTTAAATTCCACATTTTGGTCCGAGCAATAAAAGGTTACGATAGCAGGTCTAATCTATATCACTCACAAAAAACAGATTTGGTATTGCTGTACTTTGCAGTGTTAAACTGTTTTCCTAATTTCGTAATTTAAACTTGTATCCATGCATTGCTGGCCGTGTGGACAATTAATAAAAATGAGTCTTTACAGAAACTGATGCATGGTTACTCATTTAAATAATAAAAAGACATTTAGGGGAGATTTAAATAAAAAATCAAATGTCAATTTGTATTGTCTAGTTTCAAATTTTGATAGTTGACCTTTTATAGCATCTTTTGTGTTTGGGTTTATTGGATGCTCATTTATAAGTACATTTTGATTTGAGGAAAGTTTATTAATTTATGAAAACAATAGAATCCTTCATTTTCATCTGAATTTATTTCATGATTCATTTCAGACAAGGATTGGAGTTATTTTTTGATGTTCCTATAGCTTGATCATGATCGGGGGAGTCTGGGGTTGGGAATGCTTCCTGTGCTGAGCAAAGTCAGCGAATGAGGGAGAGGGTAGGATGAGGGTCATCTAATTAAACCTTTTATCCCACTTTATGGGGAGCCCAAACATTCACTGGATATGGTCCGGTAGATGATCAAAGAGACCTTTTTTTTTATAGACTTTGTTTCTTTTTCATTGCTTTAACTTCTTAATTCTTTTTAACAAAGTTCTTTAGTATGCTTCCTGGAGACCGTCTGTCTTGAGTGATTGTATGCATGTATGAGCTGAAAAGTGATTTAATAAGTCTTTTAAAGTCCCAGAAAACGTTTTTTAAATTCCACATTTTGGTCCGAGCAATAAAAGGTTACGATAGCAGGTCTAATCTATATCACTCACAAAAAAACAGATTTGGTATTGCTGTACTTTGCAGTGTTAAACTGTTTTCCTAATTTCGTAATTTAAACTTGTATCCATGCATTGCTGGCCGTGTGGACAATTAATAAAAATGAGTCTTTACAGAAACTGATGCATGGTTACTCATTTAAATAATAAAAAGACATTTAGGGGAGATTTAAATAAAAAATCAAATGTCAATTTGAATTGTCTAGTTTCAAATTTTGATAGTTGACCTTTTATAGCATCTTTTGTGTTTGGGTTTATTGGATGCTCATTTATAAGTACATTTTGATTTGAGGAAAGTTTATTAATTTATGAAAACAATAGAATCCTTCATTTTCATCTGAATTTATTTCATGATTCATTTCAGACAAGGATTGGAGTTATTTTTTGATGTTTCTACAAGAATTTCTTGTTGCACTTTAAAGTAAAATGAATCTATTTTTAATTTTAATATAACGTTTCACTTTATAGAAGTGCTGAATGTTTCTTTGTCTTTGTGTAGTTTGTCCACTGGATGGCGACGATGTGCTCCCAAGATTAGTTGTTCAGTTAAATTGTTTACATTTTAGTATATTCCTTGCAAATTGTTTGGCTTTAGGAGCATGGAGGTATATATGTATATATATATTCATTAGCCTAACAGCTGCTGTCTCAGTCTTTGTGAAATGCATACTTTATTATTGAAAAAAAAAACTATACTCCGATACATTAAATCTCTGAGCTGATGCGTAAGTATGTCCTAAATTGTTGAAAACACTTGAGGCTGGAAATGGTTTGGGCACTATCGATAAAATTTGCAAATCATAGCACCACTTCAGCATCCATAAAGGGAAATGGTATTGTGCTCTTGGTCTGGTCTTTATGTTCCAGCCCACAGTGAGTCATCCTGAGACTTTGTGGGGTATTTCAGTAGAAAAGCCCTTCAAGGCCCACTTTCTCTGAAAGCTTTGTAATGCTAACAGCCTCTCCTACAAGCATTTAATTGACCACCATCATTTCATGCGGTCATCAATGTTTTTTTTGATGAGCTGCACTGAGAAGTGGATAGGGCACTGGCTTTAAATGTTATTGTTTTTAATGGCAGCAAGCTACAATAAATGTGTTTGAAAGGGATGTCCTTATTCGCAGTATAGACTCATTGTTTCCATCATGCAGTTCCAAAAACATCATAAAAATGAAAAGTTTCACAGCAAGCAGTTCATGAATTGTTTAAAAGCGATTGTTTTCTGCACATTAAAGGTGCAATCAGCATTTTTTTTCTCATTAAGATTTACGTGATGTAAAAAAAAATGTTTGAATCATGTACACATTACTAGCTAGAGCATTTTTTACTCAAAATGAATTGATCAAATTATCTATAAATTTTGACTAGTGAAATGTCGTTTCAATAGGAAGCTATAAGACTGGGGATTTTGTGTGAGGGCTTAATATTTCCTCAGATTTTGCGCCAGGTTCAAGTTGGTCACATGGATTTGCCACATTGAACAACAAAGTTGCTGCCAAACAGTTGCTGGTAGACTTTGACTTCCATTTTGTTTCCATATTACAGAAGTCAATGGCTACCAGCAACTGTTCGGTTAACAGCATTCTTGATAATAGCTTTCGTGTTCAACAGAAGAATGAAAATCTTACAGGTTTGGAACAACTTGAGGGCAAGTAATGACAGAATTATCATTTTTGGGTGAACTCTTCAAGTGCCTTCTGGAGAGCTGTGCTACTCTGACAATAGTCCTTTTTTACCCCAGAATTTTTAGGCCACGGTGAATTTTTTATTTTTTATTTTTTATTGTGGTGCTTCATTAGTGATGGTAGAATTAGCATATTTGGTGGTGCATTTCTGTTTGAAACACTGGGCAACTGAATGTCACGTTGGTACCAAGATGACGGTTCATCATCATATTTTTTTATTTTCTTTTTTATTTAAAAATACAGTGAACCATAACTGATAAAACTGTTGACATGAGAAAGCGCTTCAGTTTTCATGCAGGCGACCACAAGCAGATTCTTCCGGTCGATCTCCACCACAGTTGTGATGATGATGAAGATATGGATGGGGGTCCAGCAGATGATAAAGGCTGCCACCACCACCAACACCATGCGGGTGATGCGCCGGAGGTTCCTGTCTTTCTCTCTGGAGCCGGACAGCAAGCGCACACTCTTGAGGCGAAGGATCATCAGGCTGTAACAGATAGTGATGACCAATACAGGAACCACAAAGGCGAAAATGAAAACACAGATCTTGGTCACAGTATCCCAGTACCAGTCTGGGTCTGGGAATTTCAACATGCAGACTGTTTTGCCTGTGGAGAATATATGTAAAAAGAAGATAAGAAGGTGAGTATAGAGTAATTTCTTAATTAAATTTACTAATCAGTTTTAATTTAATTCTTTTTTTAACAGTCCTCAAATATATCGTTACACAAGGTGATGACAAGTGACTTCCTGCATGCCTACTACTAAAACGTTAGACAAGTAGTATGTCCAAATTCATAGACCAGTACATGAAAATCTGAAGTGCGCAAGAAGAGGATTTGTGAATGGCAGTGAAGCAAGACAATGCAATAATGACAACATGATAAATGTAGTGCGTCCAAATTTCATCCATACTACACACATTTATACTATATAGAACATAATGTTGTCAAGGAAGTTTCATACCAAATGTTGTACCTACTAACAATGCAGATTTGGACACTGTTATTGACTTTATGTTAAAGGGTTAGTTCACCAAAAAATTTAAATTCTGTCATTAATTACTCACCCTCATGTTGTTCTAAACTCATAAGACCTCCGTTCATCTTTGGAACACAAATTAAGATATTTTTGATAAATTCTGAAAGCTTTCTGACCCTCCCATAGACAGCAATGTAATTACCACGATCAAGGTCCAGAAACGTAGCACGGAGATCGGTAAAATATTCCATGTGACATCAGGGGTTCAACCATAATTTTATGAAGCTACGAGAATACTTTTTGTACGCAAAGAATACAAAAATAATGACTTTATTCAACAATTCGTCTCCTCCGTGTCGCCCTGGTGGCATTTTGGAGAATATCCACTGAACGTAAACAGCGTATGCTATTCTGTGTCAGATGCGTGACGCGGATACGTTTTCTACGTTGTTTATGCTTTGATTTCAACGAAAACAGCGTATCCACGTGACGCAGCTTTTTGTTTTCTTTGCATACAAAAAGTATTCTCGTAGCTTTGTAAAATTATGGTTGAACCCCTGATGTCACATGGATTATTTTACCGATCTCCTTGCTACGTTTCTGGACCTTGATCGTGGTAATTACATTGCTGTTTATGGGAGGGTCAGAGAGCTCTCAGAATACATTTGGGTGAACTATCCCTTTAATGTCAATCTACCTTCCTTTAAAAAATTATTAATTAAGGACTCAAGACAAGCGACTGTCCTACTGAGCGAGTCATTGAATTATTAATTTAACCGATTTTTTCGAAAAGAATGATTCATCCAGGAAATAAACACTGTGTGTTGCTCTGGGAGCATTAACCAATTCAGCATAGATTTGTTCTTAACTATTATCTAAAATATTACTCAAATACTTTTTTCCACTCATTTTGTCCTCACCTGTGTCTGTCACTCTAGTAACGGCCATAACCATGACTGGGAAGCCAACAGCAGAGGAGAGAATCCATATGCAGATGTTGATGATCTTTGCTTTGATGGGTGTGCGGAAGTCCAGGGATCTTACTGGATGGCACACGGCAATGTAACGGTCTACACTCATCATTGTCAGAGTGAAAATACTGGTAAACATGTTGTAGTAGTCAATAGCAATGACCAATTTACACAAGAGCTCTCCGAATGGCCAGGTGCTCATGAGGTATTTGGCACTCTGGAAGGGTAAAGTACTGGTGGCTAAAGCATCGGCCAAAGCCAGGTTAAAGATGTAAATGTTGGTAGCTGTCTTCATCTTTGTGTACCTGAAGAAAAAAAGAGTAAAAGTCAGTCTGAGAGATTCAACGAGATAAGCAATTCATAATTTTCGAATGTCGATCCGCTGCACCTGGGTTTGCAGTGACGATATGAACATTGATGAATACAGATGCAGATGAATGGGATGCACTGATTGTGCATGATTTGAGGTTCTTCTCTGCTTTGCCCTTTTCATTATAAATATCAGATACGATTAACATGATGATCAACTCAAAAAATGCAGAAAAAAGAACCATATGTGCTCTTTTAAATAATTTTTTGTATATTGTTATTTCCTTTTCACTTATCCTATTTTTTTTTCCCCTTTTTATTATGTGTCTTGTCACTGTCATTCTTCCTCGTATGTGTAAACATACCTTGCAATAAAGCTCTTTCTGATTCTGATTTTAACACCCTTCCACACTGTAAACAACTTTTGTTTCAAGAATTAAAATGTTAACCTATGAAAATGATGGCATGCATTGGCACATTCATTATTTTTTATATTCTGGTGATGTGATAAAAACATTATAAAACATTTTTCAGAACTTGGTTTGCTATCCTATTTGCTTTCCATTAAAAACACAACATTTATAAAATATACTGTTTTCACAATATACTATTTTTTTCAAACTTTTTTTCAGATACCTCTTTGTTTATTTTTAAGCCACTAGTAAAGATTTTTTTGAACAATCATTATTTTAGTTGCTCAGATTATTATTATATCAGATATTAATATTATTATATTTTACATTATTACTGTTATTATTATTATTAAGGATATAATAGATGATTTGGCTATAATGCAGAAATTGTGATAAAGTGTAGTTACAACATCTAACAGCAGGTGCTAACAACATGCTTTCATTAAATTAAGGTGTCTCAAGAGTCTCTCTATGATATCATACAATAATCAGCTCATAATTTTCTCTTTTTTTATTCCAAATTAGTTGTGGGCTGATGAATGATGGGGCATCCTTTGAAAGGATGTGACCACAGCTACTAAAGAAAAGCCCAATGCCAAAGGCATAAATTGATTATGCTCTCTTAGAGATTTGTCTGGTGCCCACACACAGTGAGCTCTTTGGAGGACTTGACATTTGAAGTCTCACAGAGAGGAAGAGAGAAGACAGCACACCCATTAGTGACATTACAGTTTGTTCCTCTCTTTGTACATGGCTATACATGTGGTGAGATGAATAACTCCATTATTATAAGTTCCATTAAGTCTTTTGTAAATGCATGACATGTTTTGTTGTATATCCATGATTCATGTTTGCATCTCTAATTTTACACTAGTCCCTCATCCAGTTGTACTCTTATTTAGAACTGCCATGAATCACGTTTCACACTAATTCATTGTATCAGGGAACTTATTTCTGTCACGGACCAGTTCTGGAAAATAATGTTTAGAGGTAGAGCCATTTTATTGACCTCTGAATGGCGTGGGCATAATGTGTTGATGATTTTGAGATTTGTATACATTTTTGTATTGTTAGAAAACCCACTAAATACACATTTTGTCACAAATAGTTTTTTGTTGTTTTACGCATAAACAACTAAAAAAACTAAATCTAAAAACAAGTAATAAAATCTCACGTAACGGTGTTTCTGCTTTCTTTTTTGGGACTTTTAGATATCTTTTACTGGAAAACAAGAAAGTCAAAAGTCTTTTTTTGTGTGCAGCATGAGAACTAATGGATTCAAATGAGGGGGAAATTCTGATGTGTTTGCAATCTAAAAGGCATTTATTTCAAATGCCTCAAGATTTCAAGATTTTTTGTCTGTAATTGAAACTTATGGGGGAATTATTATTGAGTTCTTTTCACATCAGACTTCCTGATGTACAGTTTCTGCCTTCCAGGCTGTAGTGGCTGATATGCTTTAATATTCTCTTCTGTTTTTTTATGTCCTCAAATGGGAAAAGGCTTCTGTGAAAGACTAGCAATCCAGACATTGCGAATATGATTAGCCCATTCAGACTGTGCCTCTTAGGCAGTGGCTTTGCACTCCTGAAGACATGTGTTGTGAATAGATTAGGAAGATGTGATCTAGCTCAATTGTAATAGTTATGTGATCTGAACCCTCTGAAGGAACATACCAAATACTGTAGGTCTTTTTGGTTTTGAATTTCTGTTCCCTCCTATTCTCTTTTGCCTAAATAGGCAAAATACACACATTTTTCTAAAGCTATGAACTACATACGTACACTTTCATACTTTATTTTAAATGTAACGTAACGTAAACACAGCATTTTATTTTCTAATGAATAATTAGCTATGTGCCTGCTAACATCCTTTTCCTGGGAATGATTCTACTCGAGCTGTATTATTTGTGCTTTAAATTATTTTCATTTTATACAGCGTTTTAATGCTCATTTCATACTTGGAACACCTGAACGGATTTGTACAGAATGCTTTATAAGCTTTAGTTGAGTTTGTGGAGGAATTTTTGACAGAGTTCTTGCAGGAATTTATGGGTTCTGTTAAAAAAAAAAAAAAAGAATCCTTACGGTACATTTGAAAGGGTGTTTAGAGGTTCTACATTGGGTTTCTGGGGAGCCCCAAATGGTGCTTCAAGTATCTTTTCATTTTTTACAGTGTTAGAACCTTTACGGAGTTCCAACCATGACATCAAAACATTAATTACAAATGTAAGTTTTTGTTTTTACTTGGAACACCTGAACAGATTTGTACAGAATGCTTTATAAGCTTTAGTTGAGTTTGTGGAGGAATTTTTGACAGAGTTCTTGCAGGAATTTATGGGTTCTGTTTAAAAAAAAAAAAAAAGAATCCTTACGGTACATTTGAAAGGGTGTTTAGAGGTTCTACATTGGGTTTCTGGGGAGCCCCAAATGGTGCTTCAAGTATCTTTTCATTTTTTACAGTGTTAGAACCTTTACGGAGTTCCAACCATGACATCAAAACATTAATTACAAATGTAAGTTTTTGTTTTATCGCACAACATATTTGATATTAACATACTTGTGATTCATTTTTAGCCTAATGAAGCCTTTTGTGGCAAATGTGTTTTCTTTTTTATAAGAAACCCTTTTGCCTTTGTGGAGTCAAGTATAGAACCACAATATAAGGAACTCTCTCTCTTTCTCTCTATAGGCTACACAGTGCTGGGAAGATTACAAATTGTAGTCAGTTACTTAATACAAATTACATGAGAAAAATTGCAGTTAGTAATGTAATCTATTTCATTACACATTTTAGTTAATATAACCTAATTACTTTTAAATTGTTTTTGACCTAACTTGTTTATCATGTTAATTTGAATAGGATAATATTGTTCCATACTGACATAAAATGGAACAATACATTACATCATGGTTTTCCCAAACTGGGGTTTGTGAGGAACAGCAGGGAGTTTGTAAACTGATGAAAAGCTAATAATTAATTAAATCGTAAAAGTATTTTATTTGTTTATGCTGTTAGGCTATTACAGCCACCTGACTAGTGGCTGGTCTGTGTGCAATTTCACAAAACTGAACGACTTTCCAAACATATATAAGCAATAGGCTTATATAAAAAAAGAAAGATAAAAGGAACAATAGGGAGGATCGATAAATTATGAATAATTTACTGCCATTTTTAAACATTATTTAATCATATAATCAATAAAAACAGTAACTGTGGTCTGATTATGAGTATTTTAAAAAATAATATAAACTAATTACAAGTGTTAATTTTTTGTAATCTGATTACATAATTCAGATTTCATAGTTAATACCCAGGCACTGTAGGTGCAGGAAAAGGACATGAAATCAAATGATAACAGCAGCTTTAACAACTGAGTTTTGAATTGTTCATGCTGTGAAAATTGTTCTTCCTCCAAAAACTATCCATAAACTAAACTGGCATATCTGTGGGTGATATAATTTCAGCCCTCAGCCCTGTCTTTCACATTCCACCACTTGCTCAGATTCCAAACAAAACTCCATGTCCCCCACATTCTCTGTAGATACAGGGGTAGCCTATATCCCAGGGGTTCAGATATACCTAGGATGCATATTTGCATGCTCATATCATTCTCTGTAGACTTTGTGCACTTCTTACAGTAAACCAGCAAAGTTAGGGCAAAGTGGGTTACCTGTGCTTGCTTATTAATGTCAAAGTGTGGTAAATTAAATAAATAATGATCATCCCACTTTCAGAGACTTCTAAAGTACATATTCACTGACTAAACAATTTCTCTTACCTGACCACACCGTACATAACCAGAATATTTCCAAACAGTCCCACCACGCAGATGACAGAGTACAGCGCGGTGATGCACACAGCGATAGCGACCGCAGTGCTGCCTCTCACCGCCTTCGGCTCGCTGCCTCCGCTCCAGTTAGACAGAAGTCCTGCTGGTTCCTCCATAAAGCTCAAGTTTTGCAGAATTAAAGGATACCGCTCGGAAAAATCACTAACAGTCACTGTTGGAGGCTCCATTATGCGCTTCCCCTGTATAATGCCAAACGCCTTCTAAATAAGTCAAACGGAAAGATTATATCTTTAAAATAAAAGATAGAGAACGATTTAGAACAGCAGCTGTAAGGACATCAACACTGCTCACTTTATGCAGCCCTTCTTTTCTGACCTCTCCTCTCCTCTCCTCGGGAGTGCAGTCGACTTCCAACTGCTCGTGTTGCTGTGCACGCACTCGTACGGTCCTTCTCCCGAAGTACAACGGAATGGCAGCTGCTGCGCCCGCTCGACACACTGTAAACGTGTAGGCTACTGGCCATGCTATAAGTGCGTTTGAAAAAAAAATCCATTCCATGTCTACATAGTTCAGGTAAACACTTTTAACATTCAGATTTAACCATGGTTTTATTACAGTAAAAGTGTAACCAAGGTTGTTGTTTTTTTGGCTTATTGATTAGGCTACCATTTGTATAAACACAGTTTTACTACAAATACCATGTCTAAACTATATGGTTAGTGTAGCAAAACCATGGTTAATTTGTGGTTACCATGGTTTAACCATGTTTTTTTGTAGTAAAAACATGGTTAATTTTCGTAAGGGAACATACAGTCTACCTGGAGAAAAAAATATATAGTTGTGTGGAAATCTGTGCAACATGAAGCCTAAAATGTATATACTTTTCTGAGTGCCTATCTATCTGTCTGTTCATTTCTCTAGGACCACACTGCTGTAGGTCTTATCACCAGCCTGAAAGAGAAAATTACCAAAACACACATACATCAGTGATGTTGCAAATTGCCAGCATTATGAAAATTAATATACAGGTGCATCTCAATAAATTAGAATGTTGTGGAAAAGTTCATTTATTTCAGTAATTCAACTCAAAATTGTGAAACTCGTGTATTAAATCAATTCAATGCACACAGACTGAAGTAGTTTAAGTCTTTGGTTCTTTTAATTGTGATGATTTTGGCTCACATTTAACAAAAACCCACCAATTCACTATCTCAACAAATTAGAATACTTCATAAGGAAAGAAAACATTTTTAATGAATTGTTGGCCTTCTGGAAAGTATGTTAATTTACTGTACATGTACTCAGTACTTGGTAGGGGCTCCTTTTGCTTTAATTACTGCCTCAATTTGGCGTGGCATGGAGGTGATCAGTTTGTGGCACTGCTGAGGTGGTATGGAAGCCCAGGTTTCTTTGACAGTGGCCTTCAGCTCATCTGCATTTTTTGGTCTCTATTTTCAATATTTATGGCTACCTGTTCTATTGTTAAGAGAATGAGACCCTTTTACCAGACACACAGAGACCTTTCAAACGGCATCAAACATGAATTGTTGCCTTGTTATAAACTCTGATTTAAGAAAGGTGGTTTTGGTGATCTCTGCAGTGTCCTGTGTTCAGATGGAAATGAGGGGAGAGAGGGGAAGAGTGAAGGCGTGGAGCTTTTGTTTCTCTCAGTTGGGTGTCTTGCTTTAGGCTTGCGAGACAGAGTTCAAATGTTGATTCTCGTGAGAGTTCTTTGTTTTTTCAGACGGTGACCTTCTTCTGATCTAGCCAAATGGCATCAATAATCTTACAACAATTTGAGTTGAATTACTGAAATAAATGAACTTTTCCACGACATTCTAATTTATTGAGATGCACCTGTATATGACCCATGCTTAATCTTTGCTGCTTTTGCATTTGGGGTTTATAAGTTCTTGACTTCGCTGCTTTGAACTGACAGATTTGTCAAGACTATGGTTTTGTCAGGCATTGCTATTGGCTTAATTTCCTGAAAAACAGGACACCATCTGGAGGCTTTGTATAGTAGCAAGCTGCAATACTGCATGTTGTTTTGGTATCTCTTAAGACATATTATTATTGAGTTCATTCAACTTGTAGGTTGGCATTCTTCATCTATGTCTATGTTCAATACTTTCTGTCTACATCACTGTACTAAGTCACATTCCTCATAAGTACAAACTTCAACTGACATAGTAAAACACCAATGATTATCAGGTGCTCGGAGGCATAATATGTATAAGTTATTTCCCCACTGAGATCCCACTTAGAAAAAGAACACTGACCCTCAGTGGTAAATTTGCAATTAGTCCACATTTTGATAATAAAATCGTGTTCAAGTGATTACATGATCAGTTCAATCAAGAAGAATCTTCGCTATTCCATTGCTTCTAATCGCAGGGGTTGTGCGGAAATGAAATTATATAACAGAGGAGAATCAAATTCAGGCACTTGACACTATCCTCTCTGATGACTCTTAATGGCTCTCTGCTGTTGTAACATTGTACTTTTTATCCAAAATTCATAGGATAAGTATTAAAGTTACCTTTTGTATAAGCTTTTGTATCACTCAGGAAACAAGATGATTTTTTGGAGCCTGTTAAAAGATGTTTTATGATTAAACAATCTGCATCGATTTAACACAGAAATCTACCATGATTTAAGACGACAAAATGTGCTATAAGATTCATTTGGAGTGAATTATTCTAATTCTGAGTGGCACATGAGCATGTCCTGGCAACTTTCAATGAGACTGAAATTACATTCGACTCGCATGACATATATAAATGAATGACGCTGTATTATGGTTGTTAGACAGTGAATTTCAGAGCATCCACAAGCTCTGATCTGGACTCAGGCTGTTTTGCTTAATGCCCCATAGGTCACCATTTTAGCTGGCCAGTAGAAATCTAAACTGAGAGAGCATCTGTTGTTACAGATGGCTTTATAAATATGCCTTGATGAGAGAGATTGGATCATTAACTCACATAGACCATTCCATTTCTGGTCAGGCAAAATATTCCTGGAATTTCTCAATACAAGTTTTTCAAGACAATATAAAGGACCTTCTTTTTTATTATTTAACTAACTAATTATACCTGTATGTGTGATTATGGCAGGTTTGACAGAGACCAGATGCTGAACTTGGCCACTAACAAACTGAAGTCTAGTCCGAGAGCCAGATGCACCCATTAAACCATCTGACCATGAGCCAACGCCTTTAGTTGTGAATGAACTGACCATATGCCATTCAAAAAATAAAAATAAAAGTCTGAATATTGGCAAAATAAAATCCTGAGCCTTTTTAGAGTGTTGAAATAATATTTAAAATTGTTGACGAGAGAATAAGAAATATTCTTGATCTTCTGATTGTTCACATGATTTTGATGGCAAGCCATAAAAACTGAAGCCTTGCCAAGAAAAAAAAAATCACACAACCTGACATTGTGTGCCACCATGATTGTGCAAAGAAACAATTAAAATGTAAGTCTTATTTTCAATATAACACTGTATCTTATGTATCAAAAAACATGTACAGGACATGTCTTATGTACAGAACAAAACCAAATAATTATCATAACAATCATAGCCCATCTTTTGACACAGCTTTATAATAAATGTATGCAAATCTGAGGGAAATGCTTAATGCAGGGTCTCAATCTGCGAACAAATTTGTAATTGTAGCTATATTTATCACTGGTTTGAATGGCAGGTAAGTTTAAGTGGTTTAGCACTAGATTAGCACTTGATGTGAATTATCTGATTCATCATTCTTTCTTAAAAGGCCTCATTAAACCATACATCCAGAGTGCAGACAGAACATCAAACATTAAAAAATAAGTAAACACTATGGATTTCATTCAACCATGTAGTAATATGTGCTGTTAAATGTTATATTTTCATTAAGTGTGGTTAGACAGATTGCATAATGCTCAAATATTATGTACGAATTGTTACGAAGCCCCAGTGTGCCCAAGGATCAGTGCATGATAAGACAGTGGGTTTGCTTAATTATCATTAATGTGAGGGACAAAACAAGCCATGAATGTCATTAACATCTAATCAGTGTTTCTGCCTCTTGTCATCAGCAGAAGTGATCAATTCAGGCTATAGTGTGAAACATTTCTGCTACGTTTACCGAAAATGTTCATTTAAATACAACATTATTTTATAAGGATTTGTTTTTTTACCATAGCAAGCAAATATTAAGCCCCCACCTAATTGTTCCCTTTTGTGAGTGATTGTCGGACTTCATAGTTTTTTTTCCCAATAACAACATCCGTGGCTAAAAGGCATTCATATTGCAATTATAGTTTACTGCAATGCATGTCAAAAAATATGCATGTAATATGTACTCGCCATTCACTCTGTCCATTATACAAGTTTCTTCATATGGTTTTGTTTCTTCTGAATTAAATTTCCATAGAAAATAAATACTTAATATCATATAAAGTGTGATGGTTCACTCTCCCTCTCTTTTTTTTTTTGAAGGGCTGGTGCATTAGATTGATGAGACTGGCCAGTGGGGACTAACTAGCTTCTGCCCACATATTGGAACAGATCTTCTGGTATCAACACTTTGAGACTGATAAATCTGACTATCACCTCTCATTTCCATCTAGATCTGACCATCCAGTCTCTCACACCAGGGGTGAGCTTCTGCTGTAGAAATACACTCACTCGCCCTGCTTTTTCAAAGGATTTCAAAGAGCGGTAAAATACATAGGCCTATACAATACTTATGGAATATAATATCTTTGTTTTGCAACCACACACTGCCATGAGAGTAGTTCTTAAAGGAATAAATCACCCAAAAATGAATTTTGAGTTTGTTTCTTCATTGGAACAGATTTGGAGCATTTTAGCATTATATCACATGCTCACCAATGGATCCTCTGCAGTGTATGGGTGCCGTCAGAATGAATGAAAATCACAATAATCCACAAGTAATCCATCCAGTAAGACCATCCATCAGTCAACATCTTGTGAAGTGAGAAGCTGCGTATTTGTATCAAGACGTTTTTAACTTGAAACCATTTATTCTGGCTCATCTGAATCAGGAGAGAAATATGCACAGATCAAGCACCGTTTACAAGTGAAAACGGTTCTAAACAAATACATTGGTGGATTTTGATGTGAGAGGACGGACTTTTTCGGCGGAGAAAGTGTAATATTATGGACTCCTATTTTGGCCAGAAGTGACGGTTTGAAGTTAAAACACTACAATTAA